TTTTTTTTTGTATCTGGTCCTGACCATAGACCAGGGGGGTCCGGCGTTTTGGGAATGCCGGACCCCCATGAGCAAAAAATTCCGACCGGATTTGGGCAAAAAAAGTCAGTTTTGATTTCGTTCAAAAAATATAATATGTCCGTTTTGACGAAATAGCTGTTAAATGATCTACGGCTACCAGAAGAACACTGAATTCTCCTTGATCAACAGGGCCTCTCGGCACGTTGATGTTCGTCGTATCGATACTGACCCGTTGGAAGGGGCGCTCTACCTGGGTAGGCACTATTGTACGGGGCATCTGTATCGGCGCCTTATCGGCCGCGCAGGCCGGGCAAGTCCGGACAATGTATTTCACATCTTCCCGGATTCCCGACTAGTACCATCCGTTTTTCTCCATTGCTTTTCCCGTGTATTTGACTGAAAAGTGGACCGCATCCTCCTCGTGGGCGACTCGTGTCCAACCAAACCTGGCCTGTGGGTGTGGAACCGTCAGCCAACTATATCCGTCGACGTCATCATCTTTTCGTTTTTGAAGGACGGATCCCTGCCAGCGGTAATCGTGCGCCCGTTCCGTGACACGTCGCCGTTCAGCCGTGGTAAGTTTCGTCAGCGGGTCGCCTGTCAGTCTCTGTAATAGCAGAAGATCCGTCCAGACTTCCGCTCGGCGGACGCTTGGCAAAAATTCGTCTGTCGTTCTGGCTTCTAGATACCGTTTTTCCATAGGTATGTGGTCCGTTCGACAGTTGGGACAGTTCCACCTTTTTTTAATTCCGATACCAGGCACAACTCCCATGGGATCGGACTATGTGACATTGACTACGTTGTACCCAGGGAAGAAAGCTAGGCCCCTAGAGAGGAGGATCTCCCCCTGCCGGTATTATGGGCAAGGTGCAGAAGAAACAATTTTGGGAAGGCGTGCTCGGAGGGGAGTCAGGATCAGGAGAGGGGGTTAAAGAATAGGGTAGGGGAGAAGGGGTGGCGGCCTCCTCATGGGCGATCGCCATGTCCGATTGTTGTAGTACCTTTGCGGAGGACGTTCACCTCCCCATAGCCGGATTCCGCCAAAGGCGAAGTCGGCTTCCATGGGATGAGCTTTTCGTTCACGGGGCTCTTGTTCGGCGGCTGGAGGCGCGTCAAACCATCGGCGTTCCCGTGCTGCCTGGTGGCGCGGTGGCGGATGTCGAAGTCGTAGTCCTGCAATCTCACCGCCCACCTTCCCAAGGTACCCGTGTAGTCCATGTTGTTCCGCAACGATAGCAATGGCTAATGATCCGTCACGAGCACGAACTTCTGGCCGTACAGATACGGTCGAAAGTGCTGAACCCCCCACACCACCGCCAAGCACTCACCCTTGCATGCCTCGTAGTTCGATCCCGCCTGACTTAGCGTTTTCAATGCTTACTCGATGATGTGCTCCCTCCCATCCGTTCCTTGCTGAGTCAGCACCGCCGATATCGTTTGCGGCTGTTACTCGGTATGCAGCACTAACGGTCTTATCGGATCAGGACGCGCCAACACGGGTGCCGACGTCAGAGCCTCCTTGAGTGCCCGAAAAGCCGCCTCACATTCCGGCGTCCAGATCAGCTGCTCCTCCTTCTTCAGCAGGTTCGTCAGCGGCTTAGCGAGGCAGGCAAAGCTCCGAATGAAGCGTCGATAATACGAGGCCAGCCCTAGGAAGGCTCGAACCTGAGTGAGCGTGACCGGGGCCGGGGCTTCTCGAACCGCTGCTACCTTCCTAGGATCCGGTTTCAGTCCCTCGACCGTGACTATGTAGCCCAAAAAGGAAATTTCGGACCGAAAGAACTCGCTTTTCTCCAAAGCCACCTTACCCCCCGCATCTTTCAGTGCGTGCAAAACCCACTCAATGTGCTCCACGTGGTACTCATGCGTTTTCGAAAAGACCAAAATATCATCCATATACACAATCACGCAAAAATTGATCAGGGGCTGAGTTAGTCGGGTTTTGTTAACGAACTCGACGAAGGCCATATTCATTGCCCGCTGGAACGTTGCCGGGGCATTACAAATTCCCATGGGACACCGGACCCATTGCCACGTGCCCTCGAATAGGACAAAAACGGTTTTGGGCCGATCTTCCGGTCGGACTGCGACGTGGTGAAAACCGTGTCGGATATCGGACTTTGAAAAGACCCGAGCGGACCCGATAGCATCCAGCAGATCGTCAATCCGCGGCAGCGGATAGACATCTTTGGTAGTGATAGCATTTAATTTGCGGTAGTCAATACACACTCGGACTGAACCGTTTCGTTTTGGCATGAGGACCACGGGAAATGACCATGGTCCCAGCGATGGTTCAACCCACCCTAACCGCTCAAACTCCCGTACCCTTTCCAAGGCCAGTTGTCTTTCTTTTAGGGAGTAGAGGTACAGTCGGCAATGTATCGGGGCGCGATCACCGGTATCAATCGCGTGTTGGATCAGGTGGGTAAACCCTATATCGTGGTCCTTGATGCTGACGGCCTCTGGGTGGCCCGTATAACTGCCAAAAGTAGGCGCTTGTAGTCGTCAGGCACATGGGCCGGCAGCCGGACGTCCACGTTTCCCTCAGGGAGGGAGATCGTCGACGTAACCGTGGGGACTGCCGCGCTGGCTTCGGGTGAGGCACCGAACAGCGAATTGTCGTTTTTTGCCGAAAGCACGGTCGCTATGAGTTGACTATCTGCTGGGTTTATCGGTTCGTTTTCCATGTCATTGTCGTTCTCGAGCTCGGTTTCGGCCGAGGGTTCTACTGAAAAGGCCTGTAACAGCTCCTTCAGCCTCCATTGATATTCCCTCGTTCGGGGTTGAAACGACACCCCTTCCTTCAAGAGCAGGGCGGCTTTTGCGTTCGTAAGTAGGGGCCTGGGAGGCCGAAAGGTCAAATCGCACAACCCCCTAAGCTCCGTAAACCTTTTGGGTAGGGGGTCCGTCCTAAGATATAAGGACGCAGGGGGTTCCGAAAGGTCAGTTATTCGCAACACCCTCAGCAGGGGTTCTCCCTGCACCACGGAGGAGAACGCGTGCGACCAATCGGACTCGCTCTGAACTATTTCCAGGGGTTCTCGTCGCCAGGAATGGCGC